GAAATCGCTAAGAGTAGACCCATTTACAAAAAGGTACTTCAGCAGAAGCCATTAACTATCGCCCTATTTCATTCCGACCAATTCTTAGCAAAATATATGAATCGATTGCGAATAAGCAATTTATAAATTTCCTTGAAAAAATCACAGGCTTTCAGACACGCAATTTGGCTTTCGCAAAAACACACCACTAAACTCGTCCCAGCTGAGGTCACCAACATCGCCGATAACATTGACAATGGTTACATAGCTTTCGAAATTTGTATTGAACCGAATAATACATTTGATACGATTAATTACAAAATCTTACTCCACAAACTTGAACATTATGGTTTAAGAGGTCTCCCGTTACAATGGTTCAGAAACTACCTTTCCAATTGACAACAATGAGTCAATATTGATAATACACTATCTTCTTTCAAAAACAAACTACACGATTACAAAATCACCATAGAGAGCAATTACCACTAGAGGGCATTTGTTCCACACAATATTTAAGAGTGACAATTGACTGCAATTTAACGTGGAAACCACATATAGATTAATATAAATTCATCTCCAGGAAAGTGGGTATTAGCACACAGACTCAGCAATATGTTCCAAGATCAATTCTTCTCCTTCTGTATAATTTATGTTTTTTAATTCACTGCACCAAAGAGCATACATTATAAGCTTCGCAAATTAAAATACTAATTACAATTAAAAAGAAAGTTTAATTGTTACATATTAGAGCTTTTGATCTGTGTCGGCATGATGACACGTCTGGTCACTCAAAGAAAAAGATATTTAATATAAAATACAAAGGAAAATTCTTGCTCGCGGTAGCACGTATAACAGCTCCAGCAAAAGATGCATTTTTTATTTGAAGGAAAAATTTATCATTATTGTTTGACCCCACCATTCCACACTGAACAAAGGAAATGAACATAAAGCTCCTGATGAGTGAGTTACTTGTACCTTACGAAATAAGATAAGATTCTAAATTCTAAATTACACACATAATAATTTTATCATGTTAATTTTATATCAATTTGAATTGTAATTAATTTGTATATTACTATCTGTTTGTATTTGTTATAGTGTAATACCCCCCATTCATAATATGTAAACGTATACGTGGTAACAGTATTTAAACAAAATATAGCGTCTAAAATCTGCTGTTGTATTATGATAAAAAGATTCAATGAGTATGTATTTGCACATTTTCTTTAAAAGTATATTTCTTTTCAATGCTAATATGTGTAATTCGTATTTATCTTAGAATGGGGATCATGGACTTCGTGGTCCTCTTGCAGTGTCACATGTGGAGTTGGTAGTCAGACTAGGACAAGACCCTGTCTAATGGAACCTTGTGATGTTGATTCCACTACAGAGAGTCGTGACTGTATGACAATTGAATGTCCACTTGTCGTCGGTAAGACATGACGCATTGAAGATTTTTTAAATTGGTCAAAATAATTGAAAAATATAAACTATATGTCACAATTCATGTGTGAACCAACAATTGGGGGGAAGTATCCACCAACTTCTAGTGTTGTTTCACAATTTACTAATTATAATGAGCTTGTCTAACGTAAATACATCACATATAATTACGGTTACATTTGATCGGGATATGTCAACAAGCAGGATGTTTTTGTGATATGTATTTGTAACGTTGATTGTTACCAATGAAACAGTGTTGATAGTCACACAATATGACAACTGTGACATCAACCTTGTATTATGACATTTTAATTTTATTATACCGACAAATACGAGGTGACCGTTGGTTAACATTGCGTAAAGTGATTTTATGTTTTATATACAAATATATCACTGAGTACTTGTTTGGTCCAAACAGTAATTTCAATATATAATCAATATAATGACATTCAATGATACATTCAGTGATACTGTTAGGTGATAACACAATTAAATTGTTCTCCGGATA